TTGTCCTTGAATTTACCAACACTGTGTTCGATGGATCTGTGCGCAGGTACATCGGAGCTCTGGGTGCGCGGGTGATATGCGACAACATTCCCGGTCTTGTGAACAAGCAGCGGCAGCTCTGCCAGCGGCACCCAGACCTGATGCAGTCCATCAGCGAGGGAGCCAAAGAGTGGATCAAAGAGTGCCAACATCAGTTCAGACACCACCGCTGGAACTGCAGCACGCTGGACCGGGACCACACTGTTTTTGGCAGGGTGATGCTCCGAAGTGAGTCTGAACATACATGGCTAAGGCTTCTATCTGTGTGGTTCTTTGTGCGTGACAGTGGTTGTTTATATCAGTGACACTCAAGTTAATCATCCTCATAAATGTCTCCTCTGTTATCAGATAAGCAGGGAATTAATAGGTGTCTTATTAAATCAACTTTACCCCGGAATGCAAACAGAAAGAGAAATTGTTGTGGGTTTTTTTACCTTCTCAGGAATGAAGGAACATTGGGAAAGTGGATGTTCTCTGAAAACAAGTAGCAGATTGAGAGATCCACACTGGTGATGTATAAACAGTAATAGGAGATGTAAATATTTGGGTAGATGTTTCTGGCAGCCAGACAAAGCTTTACTCCCTGACATCTCGCCTGTGTTCTGCTTCATTGCGTGAGCAGGAATGAGAACAGGAGGAGGGTGGGACAGCCAGACCAAATAACCTCCAAAATCTCCTCTCAACTAAAATGAAAACACTGCTCAATGACTTAGAAAGCTGCCATCTGTGCAAATTAATAGGTGAAAGGAGAGTCGGCTGGTCTAATGTTATAGCTGACATGCTCTGTCTGGACCATCCACCATAAATGGACTGATCTTGGTATGCCTACTGTCTAGTATTTGCAGAGAGATGACTGCTTTACTCACCAATAACACATGACTCTGGACACTAGAAGAACAGCTGAGAAAAACAAGTGCTATGACAACTTTTAAATAATGTCACATGTCAGATATAGGCAATATTAGATCTCTCTTTACCAACAGTCATAAGTTAGTTCTTTAAATGATTGCAATTGCAACGCTCCCTTCCCCGTCTATCCAGGCAGCAGAGAGGCAGCATTTGTGTACGCCATCTCTTCAGCAGGAGTGGTCTACGCCATTACCAGGGCCTGCAGTCAGGGGGAAATGAAGATCTGCACCTGCGACGGTCAAAAACGAGGGCAAGACAGTGACGACAAAGGCAACTTTGACTGGGGCGGATGCAGCGACAACATCAACTATGGCATAAAATTTGCCAAAGCTTTCGTCGACGCCCGTGAGAGGATGGTGAAAGACGCTCGAGCCCTGATGAATCTGCACAACAACCGATGCGGTCGGATGGTCAGTGGAAACGTTTTTTTTATATTAATGTTTAAGCTTTATCTCTTAGTGGAATTGTAAATTTAGACATATTTAGGAAGTAACAATGAAAACAAAAAGGTAAGAGAAGCAAATACCTCTCCAGGCTTTCTGAAGGTTCTTCATCAGTCCTTGCACCTGAACATTTTCAGGGGATGCTTTTATTGTTGTTTTTGTTAAACGTAACATTGACCTACAAATTTATTCAAAGGCACCCAACTCAAGCGATCAAGATAACTTAACAAAGACCCAATGAAATAAAAAAAAGTAGAAATAAAAACCAAAAAAAGACGTGTCACAAAACCTGAGAGATACACATGACCCTTCAACTCATCCGTCTTCTGTGAGTCATAGATTGGTCTCTCCAAGCTTAAAGTTGGTCATAATAAACATCGACTCTTAAAATCATTAGAAATTATTTTTTACCTAAAGATGTCTTCAACTACTAGGCTAGTTGACTTACTTGACTACTAGGAAGTAAATGTCTTAAGACTAAG